TTTTTTTTTTTTTACACTGGCGTTCGTTAGGCACAATTCGTTCAAATTTCATTACTCATTAAGCGAGGTAAGACCTTTCAATTGAAATGCAGAATATTTCGTGACATGTGATCGATAATTTTCCTAGGTAAATCCATTTACTTAAACGTCTTAGTTGTCATCGTATGAATACAGATTCATCATGATGATCTTAAATAATAAGGAAAGTCATGGACAAAGTCTTTTATCCATGTACAAAGATTTTTATACAATCCAATGGAAATCAGGATAACGAAAGGGCAATTAAACGAACGAATGCGTAGATTCCTTTTTCCGTGTGTTATATCGGACGTCAACCGCATCTTTGTGAGATATTTTGTACAAAACCATTATGCCGACCGTTTAAACATCAATATTCAGCTTGGCTGGAATAACGGCGGCGTAAGATCTGTTTTATAGAGGCCGATAAATCCTTTATGGCGATCAATATGGCACCGTCGGTCTGCCATTACATAACAATATTTACGATCAGATGTACCCTGACAATAAAGATTAAACAATCGGAAATAGGTAGTCCGAGCCTACCAAGCCTTTATCACGGCCGAAATTTCAAAAGGTAGAATACAGAGAGCGCGCGCACGCGTGCCATTAATGCGGCGTACCTATATAATCTATAAATCCCACGTGTTTAATGAATTTTTCGTTAATATCTGCAATTCAATCTACAAATGGCGGCGGCGGCGGCAGCTTGTTTTGTCGGTGCTCTCGGCAATTGGAATTTATAACTGGCCAGGCACTTTGACGTATCGCGCTGCATCGGTTATTTGCACGCGTTGTTCAACGTTTGGCCAAATACACTGCAGGGCCATCGTGCTCTACCTGCAACCCCTTCGTTCGTCGTCTCTTTCATTATGCTACAGTCATAACCGGCGGAGCTTGACGTCGGGCTTTCACAACCGTTTCAACTGAGTTCCACCCTCCAACGATCGTTTAATTGCGCAAGTATTAAGTATTATTGTCTGGATGTAGCAAGCATCGACTCCTGACGAATACGAATGTTGACCAAAATTATGTTGCATAGGACCGGCTCTAGTTTCATATCGCGTTATCTTATCGAATGCTCGCTAAAGTAGTGAGAAGTTTAAAAACGTGGATAACCTATACTCTCTCGATATTAGTGCAGGGTATTTACATTTCACAAGCTTTTCAAAATTACTCGGATACGTGCTATCCAAACTGTGACAATCCATGTTCATTTTCCATCATAACGACGATACAAAAGTGATAATTAACCATTTGTGTGAGAACCATTTCTAGCTTTATCTGTGCGACGTATCGAGTTTCATTCTACAACAATGATCTCTAAAATTATATCCCTTAATATTAGAAGAAAGTTGTAATTCATGCAGTTACTGTTATTCGAACTACTGTCATTGCTGCATAATGCATCGTCGAAAAAACCCAGCGCAGGATATTCGTACAAATGCTTCCGCACTGCACAATTTCTTCCGCGTATCTCTGAAAGCACGCAGCCCAAGAGGGCACACAGGTTGGGAACCGCTAGCATGAAAGAACGATGAGAAGATCTCATCAGCTTTTTCCATAGCCGCGGCTGCCGCGGTATTACCGCCTTCACCCGGCGAAGATTTTTCCACGCGGCGTAACATTTATCAACGTCTTAATAATGTTTTCAAATTCTCGCGGCCCCTAATTCGACTCTCGCCTCGGCTCTTCACCCCCATCACCCTGAGCTGCCGTGTTGCGGCCGTGACAAATGTCGTTGCAATTCCAAACTAACAAAGCGTCCTACGTAATAAACATTACGACGAAACCTTGCATCTCCTCCTCGTAGGCGAAATTCGTAGGGGACGGGGGTGGGATTACAAGAAATAAAGCATGCTGGTGCCGCGATACGGCGAGCAGTGGCAATCCAGCCAGCATTAAATCCGTCGTCGTTCTTTCAGCGTTCTGCACGGAACACGGGGTCAGAGGTAATTTCGGAGGGGGTGGGTGGATGAGGGGAGGGTGATCGAAGCGAGCGCGCGACACGTTTCACCGTTCGCAGGTTGCACGTTTTATGCGGGCGTAGGAGCGAATCAACGACGAATTTGCAAGCCCGTTTAGTCTCCTCGAAATCGACAGTGTTTAACATCGGGCCCCAGTCGATGATAATTTATTATTACGACCGGTGCTGCAGCTATTGCGCGTAATCAGCGTCACGTTTTACGATTTGCCGACTGCCGCCTATATTGCATCCCTCGCCACCTGTATTTAGTGATGGAAGCGATATCGTGTACCATTGACATGATTTTATTGTGCAGTCGAGACGTAAATGTAGAAAGTAATCGATCGTTCTTTGGAAATTGTGTACACAAAGATAGCTGTCTGAAAATGCCTGTGTAGATACCTACTTAGATCGCGAATCGTTGTTTTATACCTGCAGGAAAATATCGGCACCTAATTGATACTTACACGCAAATATCGATCGGCATAGCGATCGACGCTTGCTGTTTTGAAATTCACAAGGCAGACACGATATTGTTGCAAAACTTGACAATATCGACTCGTTTCTTCCTTTACTTGATATTCTCTTCTATATGGTATATATTGGAAGAACTTATTTGCAATTCCGTTTGGTATCGAACGAATATCAGTACTTTCGCAAGGTATTAAGCAAGCCTTGATTCAATATCAATCGAAGAAGAATACCTATCCATAATTCATACCGGGTACCCGAAATTTCGATCCTTCGCATTGAGCATTTTAATATTGAACTCATCGAATATCATCGATAATAACAATATCTTGCGGCTCACTACATGCATCATCCCCAAAAGCCGTATTCTCTCTCTCTCTTTTACTCTCTGTTTGAAAACTCTCTACCTTACATTCGCCGACACCACCGTGAGCCATTATGGCGGCCACATAAATACGCGAGCCCTTTAATTACACTTTTATCTGATGCACGGTGCAACCACGTTGCAAGTGCTCCGAATTGCGATGTCGATACTTCTATACGAGCGTGCAAGGGCGCAAGGATGCGTGCGTACGCGCGAGCGTGTACCACACACGATGGTGGCGCGTCGCGAGATTGATCGACGTGTCGAGGGGGATTAAGTAAGAAAAGGCTGGATGGCGATAATGCGCGGAATACAAGGGGTGATTTAGATCCCGGACAGAGATTATCGTCATTCAGGGGAGGCTGCGATGAATATGTTCTGAATAGATTTACCATGTACTCGGAAGTGAGTGCGAAGAGAGATTACGTTACGCGCTGGGATATCATCGAGATTTCCTTTGACGTACCATATCCTGGAATTAAATCCGTTCCACCTCATTCTCTGAACTGAGGTTTCGTGGTATCACGATCGCCGCCAATTAGGATCGATAGCGAGATATTACGGCGACCTACGTAAGGTGGCTGAGGTGCTTGAGGCTCCGAAAATTGCGATGACAAAATTTTTCGCTTGATAAGAAAATTATACAGCTCGGTGTTTCGATGACGTTGCGTTATATTTTTCGTTCTTTAACCCGTTCGTTACTGCTTTGTAAATCACTCGATTCTTCTTTTACTCAGAGCAGTTAAGTTAGTTTGATTCAAATTATTCTTAACACTCTTTGAAGATGCAGAATCTTTTCGTTTCGATGCACGATAATAACAATCCACATCAGCAATAAGAAACACTCTTCATCGAATTTCATTCGATATTTAGAAATTTCGAAAACAAGATAGAAAGGATCATAATGGATCCGATCGTGGAAACACGTTTTCTATAATTTCCGAGAATAAAAGTATCCTTACATGGTGCAGGAACATTTTTGGAAAGAACAAACTCTAAACTGCCAATATCACGGCTGTTTGCGATTCTTTTTTACGAAGTCTTCTATTACAGTTTAAAATACCGAGAATTTTACGTTGGAGGTACATTCTTCATATAAGAACGAAAACATATGTCTACTCTTACTCTATCGCACCGTCTAAAGTCAACAGAACAAGACCGCTAATGCAGAAGATCGGTCGGGCATCTTGTTGAACGACCATCGATACAACATACAAGTCGGCCTCTCCGAGATTTCGAGCCCTGAGTCACGTTCCTTAATTGTTTTAGCACAATCAGTTACGGTTCGTTGACTGGTAATTACACGAGGTGCCCTCGTCTGGAACCACCGCGATCACAGAAAACTCACAACCCTTTTTACCAAGAGACCACCATTCCTTATTTTCCCCGCTGTCCTGAGAAATTCGGACATTCGTTTCAACGGACCCTGCGGGGCACGACTGTCGTGCCATGATGAGTAAACATCCATTATCCAAGTGGAATCGAAGGGAAGAAAGCGTCGTCGTGGAGAGAAAGAGAGAGAGAGAGAGATAGGAAAGTCTTGGACCCTGATTTGACCGTTTCAAAGGAAAGAGAAATCGATCTCGGTGACCTTTGGCTAACTCCTCGAGGAAAAAGCCGAACGTCGACCCCCCCATGACTGGTTGCTTCCTCTACAGATATCTGCGAAAAGATATTACGATCTCTCGATTGGGTCCGATTGACCTTTTCACGAGACACTCTATTCGTTCAGGATTAAGGGGTAGGAATGATTTAAGGTTAATTTCCAACGGATTACTGCTCGCCTCGCCCTTTCCCTTCCTTTTTTCTTCTACTTTTTCCCCCTTCGTTCCCTTTCTTCCTCGTCAGACCCTTTTTCTTTCGAATATCTGCCTAGATATTTGCTCGCGAAGAGATATTGCCAGCGATATCTTGGAAGAATAGCGAAGAGACACCGACGGTGTGCCGTCGGATTTTGTTGTAATATTAAATTTTTAATAAACCGAACGAGGTCTTCGTGCCACGGCGATCCCTTTTGAAAAGGTGTAGACGAGACTGGCAAATTTCGCGGGGAAATATAATTTCACGGGTAGCTCGTTATGTAACTGTTTACTCGACAATTAATGAAGCTATGCGCAATGATACGTTGTGCTAATTGATCTCGCATTATGCTGCAACGTCTTTCATAATTCATTTGTTTGACGTGTAGCATAGCGTGTTACAATTGCGAAATGAAAGATGTGTAATAACGGAGATTTAATTGATCGGTTTTAATTATCCGAAATCTCGAACTGCTTGGCTCGGCCAGTTCGAACGCACCAAATGAACGGGTATTTCGAAGAATAATGTTAAAGAGGACTGTTAATGATACTACGATATTACGTTATTGTATCCACGTAGATTTCTGCTCGTTCTTATTATAAATCATGCGTTCGTAAATTAGAATTGTACACGTGTATAAATACGAAGGAACAAAATAGTGACAAATCAATAACCTTGAAAAATTCGCAAACAGGAATCAAATACAATTATTCTCATTAATTTGATTCCAATTCAAAAACTACAATACGTTCCACCAATTTATTATTTCTCTATATAATGAAATAAATCATTAAAATACCAGAAACACGTTGAAAATTTATTTGCACGTATTAGTTATACGTTATAAGATGATGAAAGTTCTAAAGAAAAATCATTTACTCGTTTAAATGAATAAACCAGCGCAAACACCACTACTCTTCGAGAACAAATACTTCGTTCAAACAATACCCAAGCCTGGATATTTATAACGATTCGCGGTTACATGTACGAGCCATTAAACGCGAGCCAATAGTCGGCTAGTGTTCAACAAACGTCAGCGAGCCGTAATCTGGGCAATAATGTTGCAAAGCTTAAGCTTCTCGCGAGAGGATAGGCAAAAGGATGGGAGTATAGGGCAGGGAGTGGGGAGAGGAAGGGTCAAAGTTTATTCGGAATTTACGAGCGGGGATAGTTAACCGAGATACACGAATCGGAAGTTCATCGTCGGAAGTTGCTCGGAGGCGACATTATCGGCACGTAACCGTGTCCAGTATCTAACCAAAGTAAAAGGAATCTTGGTACCCGAGAAGGGAGAGGGTTCAAACGGGTTAAAAGCCGAGTACTCAAGATGTCATTTGGTTGGACGTCCCTCTCAAGGTCTTAGGGTCCCGCCGTCTACGTCGTGTATCTCTTCCGCTTCGAGGCATCGCGTCACGATAACCCACGATGCCAGCAACTGCAGAGAAGTTTCATTTCAGGATTACGAGCACTCGGCTCGCACTCGGCTGAAGCAGCCCGCGCGCTGCCGGAAGACCTTGTATTACAAGACGAGACGAGCATCGTAATGAGGGATGAGAATTACAGGTCCGATGCGGTTCGCCACAAAGCTTCTGTCCTCTCTCTCTCTCTCTCTCTCGTTGCGTTACTACCCGACCGGTCGCAATCATCGGCCCGTTATCGAATACGAAAAAACTTTTGCCTCAGACTGCGGCTGAGTTTCTTTTCAACTTCGCCCTCTACCCGTTCCTGATCTCTCTCCGCGTCTCCAACTTCCAGCATCTCGCGCTTTGATCTTCCTACCAAGATTCGATAATGATTTTATCCGGAATATTTTGTGAATTGCGAAGAAAATAAACGCGACTGTACGCGTGTCATCTACAGAATTCATGCAACACGCACAAACATTCGAAATAGAACTCAAAGTAACTTGTTCCGATATTTAGTAACGAAAGAAATCGCGTAAATATAAAATTGCACGAACATTCGTAGTCTACTAATAATGTTACGTTTATTATTAATTTAGATGTAATAGTAGATGTTTTAATAAATTGTATGTTAAACGGATATAGAATGATTTGTTGCTTGACTGAGTAACTGATTTGTAAAATTCCACGTATTTTATTATCGAACTTGTTCCAATTGCACGAGAAAATCAATTAGTGAACTTGCACCTACTATAAAATTTCATTAGATATATTATTTTAATTGTGTAAAGGGATACTAGGGGAATTTGAGCTGAAACTCTGCATTTTTTTTTTATTATACGATGGATATTCGGTTATTAAAATTCCAACTAATGGAACGATCGATTATCGAGCACTAATTAATGGAAAATTTGCAGATGGTACCTTGTGTAGTCTTTGTGAAGATTACAAAAAAGGATTAAGAGGATTAGACTTTCTTTCTTCTAATATTTAAGATAAATTAAGTTGTTAAGTACAATTAACAATCAAAAGTTTTTTTCTTTCGAAAAACTCTCGTCATACCAAATTAAACTTACAATTAGTTCCATGTACTTAATATATTTCACAAAATCTATACGATATTCTAAGATTAATTTAATTGTTGTAAAACTCTCAATATTGAACATTTGGATAAGCTCCCTATTAGACCATTTTAAACAAACTTTTAGCACAGCGGAAATACTTTTTTTTATTTTTACTTCTTTCTTTTTTTTTTCTTTTGTACCTCCAAAAGAATCACGATAATAGATGAAAATTTAAAAAATCAATTTTTTTAATATATAAATCAAGAACAATAAAACTCAATTTTTCAAATTTATTTTTCTAGTAATTTTGAAGTATTTATAAATGATGCACGCAATATTCGATACTTAATAAGCAAAGATATTCATAGATCGATAATATGAGCTAATTTTGGAATTGTAATTGAAAGAAAGTATAGATATTTTGTAGAAGACACGATTTTGAGAAGGTATTTTTTTATCTTTCACATTACATAATCTTTATAGTTTCATTGGAAGACTTGTGACATGTTTTCTACCAACTCGTGAAACAACGACGATACAGTTATAGGTGGGTGTTTCGAATTTACGCATTATAAAATAAAAAAGAACTTGAAATAAAACAACGCCTACTACAGGTGCAATAAAAGAAGTTATTTGCCATCTAAAGTCCACTTCATTGTTTAATTGCCTACTAAAAGATTTATAAAACGAAACTTTTCGTTTCGACGTTTCAGATTTTATAATGGCGAGCTTTGATTCTATCTAAAGATAATTACGACCTTGAAGATGCATAATACTCACTATGTTCCTCACTATATTCCTGTATGTATAACGGTACATGTACGTTTTCGTATGTCACTTTTTCGTTTCTTTAATTTAAAAGATACGATCTAAGGTTTATTCATTCATTCATTCATCTATATCGCATATAAAAATAGTAATTGGAATTAAACTGGAAACGAAATAATTACATTTGATGGATAGTCGTCTCTCGTTACGATGTTGACAAAATTTCAAAAAATATTTCATACAACACGAACAATATATATGCATACAAATTTTTCCGTGCTAGATGTTCAAATATTTTTGTGAGTCACTATATGCTTATCTTACTCCGACACAAACTTAATTACCATTAATTTGCAAGTGGAGTAATTCGTCGGTCTCAAATATGAATTTTAAACCAACAAAGTCACGTGTAAGACGTACAATAAAGTGTCGTCTCATCCAAATATATATAGATATAGTAAAATAGTCTGGGCCGTATTTAAGATACTAAGGTAAGTGTCCTCTAGCGTGCAACACGAAAGAATCCCATTGTTGGCGCCTTGATAATCGTCCACCAGCTTCAAATATCCTTGATATTAATTAACATGATTTGGCTCGTTTGTGCGAAGTCACGTTACAGAATTTTGCGGTTTCGCAGCAGTACAGTTTGCACAGCACAAAAGATTTCAACACGGACCTGACACTCGCGCAACCTATAATAGACGATAAAGAGGTGATGAAAAAAAAAAGCATAATCGCAGTGTGAAGAGGCGTTCGTTCGCAAGGTGGTTATTTCGACTCCTTTTGCCGAGCCGACGCGACAACGCAACTAGCAGAGAGAGATCGTTGATCGTGGCAGAAACTCATTCAACTCTGACATTTATCGTCTCACGATCACTTACCGAATCGAAATGCTTCTCGAACCGCCCTCCGTAATAAACGCGGACCATTTGCGGATCGAGAATAACGCGGAGTTTCGAAATGCACGGTCCACGATTGGATAGTTCGATCCTATCTCTTGATCCGATCGTTGCTCGTGTTTCGTATAATTATTAGACGCGACTCAAATTGATCGAGGTATTTCATGGTACTGTAAACTTGAACGACTGTTATAACGTATCTCCCTATTTTGCAACCTGATTATCATATTTATTTCGAATAAAAGTTTATTTGAACAACTCCAGTGAAAATCTAGCAATGAAATTTTATTTCAAGATAGTGAAGTAAATTGACACGAATCTATATTTTTACTTAGAAGTTTTTAGAGCATTCCCTTACTTTTTGGAGCAAACGACATGGGTACTTCTTCGTATATTTTTCTACGAAATTATTAAGAGCATTAAAATTAAAATTAATTAAAGTTTATGTAATCAAAATGTAATGCTATGAATAAAATATTTATTCACTTGAAGATTTATTTCTTCAATTTTTCATTATCTAATATTTACTTCTTT